ATGACCCAAACCATACAGGTTTAGGAGGAAAAAGCAGGAACTGAAGCAGGAATAAGGAGAAGAGGCTATCTTGTGACCACTTGATGTTAAAAATTCTAATTTTTAATGATAACTATAACTGATGAGGTATTAAATATTATCCCTTTATTGCACATAAAATAATGCATTATCTTTTTGGAAAAAAATCTCAAGCTATGTCATTAAACATGTTCATCTCAAATCACTGATTCAGAATACAACAGTATCAATAGCTTCATTATTTCATTGAGTAACAATGAACAACAAAGGAATGCGTAAGAGGTTAATTACATGAATCTTTGTGAAGTTATGTCCCCTGTATGATAAAAAATTACGTTTTATTTTTTTATAAATTTTTATGTATATGATTTGTACTTTTAGTCTCAGTCCATATATTTTGGCAGTGTATCTTCACATAACAGGTTAACACAAGGTTAACAGTCAGAGGTAACCTTTTATTTTTCTATACACACAGAAGAAACAGTTTTCACATGAATTGCCTTTATTTGAGACTATAAGCACAAAATAACCTCCTCTCTCCACCAAGATTACAACATGCGTGTCTGGCATACCAGTCCATGCTGAGAGGAAGGCAGCAATGCTTTCCCTATATCAACAGACCGGGATCCTGGGAAGGCTGGGGGTGCCACACATCTATCATAGACATGGCACTGTACCCTTAGATATGATGGCTATGACCCCTCAGGGGCTGCCATAAAGGTTTGCACATGGTTACTGATTTCTTTTGCCACCGTGTGCATGTTAAGTGCTAAAATGCCAACACTGCAGACTATGCGCTCTGGCATTTTCTTTCCGTGTCCTGGCTGTAACCACCAGCCTCGCAAGCACCTTCTGTATTTGGGTGAGAGTGCCGAGGAGGCATCTCCCTCCCGTGTCTGGGAGATCCCAAAGACATAAATCATACTTTCAGAGACACATCGATAATTCTTATGTAGTAAGCCTACATTTGTCTTACAAACTGCGTTTCACAAAGTGGTGCCGAGCTCCCAGCTTGAAGTAGAAGGGGAAGCAGCAGCTCATTTGACCAAGCAGATGTCAGCTGAAACACATGACTACAACCAAAGAAATGCCCAGTAAAGGGGGTTGGAGTTGATCTCACCATTTCAATGTTTTATTACTGCTTCAATGCAATTCAGGAAGTTACGATCCATCATAAAAACACAGATAAAATATGGATAATTGACATCCATTTCACCCTCATTCCATAATGTGCTTCTGTATCTTAAGGAAGCTCCTAGTTGATTAATGATTTTTTTTTCCTCTCTCAGGCTAAAGGACCTAGGGCATTTTACTTTCTGGAGCTCTAAATGATATTGCATGGTCTACCATAACTCATATTATCCGTAACACTTGGCCTGAAAATAGAGAAGATATACTCCTTTCTCAAAACGTCATATAAATTTTGGAGGATGTTTTAAAATTACTTCAGTATAGGAAGTGTTTTGCAGATCTCGTCCTATGTGTTTTTATTACTCTAAAGAAGGACTAAACCACCATTTAAGCATTGCTTTTAATAATTCAGCCAATATCTTGGGAGAGGTTCACCTGCAATTACCTCATCAGTTTTTTGCAGTGTGTTTGATAAAACAAGAGATAAAGTCACACATCAGTGGACAAACTTAATTCACTCAAGGCATTAAATTCACTTAAGACACTAAGTGAACTTCAGGCAGTAAGAGTTGAAGAGAAGGAGATAACCAGCACAAAGCACTCACACACCAAGCACACAGTATACTGTGATTAGAAATCAAAACGTAGAGAAAATTTTCCTCTCTGGCTCTGAGTACCAGAGAGGAGTATCTAGTACAAATTCCACCCTGTACTCCTCTGAAAATCAAGTGAGCCTCACATTTTAATAGATAATGGTTTCAGGACTGGAAACTCCTTAATTAATCTATGTGGCATTAATTAAAAACACATCTGTCTTAGCAAATGTATAGAATAAATATTGATTGCATCAAACTAACAATTGTAAAGAGATTAAAAAAGAAGATGGAAAGAAATGAAGAACCCGAACTTCCTTGGGGAGAGAAGTTTAAGCACTGCACGTGGGGTCACCCTGACAGGGCTGTGTATGGGGTTTTTTCTTCCTCCCTGCCTCTTTCTCCTGGTAGAAGGTCAGAATATCCCTAATAAGAGTGACATAACTAGCAGTCAGTGCTGTTTAGTCATTCTTCCTCTGAACTGGTGACTGCCATACAGCTTACATTAAAAAAAAAAAAAACATAGTAAAAAGGTGGTGTATTTTTCACCTGTATTTCAAGCTTCATTGAACTTCTGTGTAGTTCTAATATGTTTACTGTGGACGTGATGTGTAATTTTTTCTTCTTCTCAACACTACCTAGTATTTTTTCTTCTCAACACTACCTCTGCATTTCCATTTGAAGCATTATAAATAATTCAAAGCAGCACAAAGTCCTGATAAACCTGCTGAAATGTAAGACTCATCCAATCATATTTAATTGAGGAAAACGAAGAGGTAATTGCCAAAAACCAAAAACCCTTTTCAAAACTCCTTTGGTCACAGAGTATTCAATTATTTTTGGATAATTTACTGAAAGCCTCCAAAAATTCTGTCGTTCTGATGTTGATGTTATTGAACTCTCTATTGAAGGCAATGGATAATGGAACTAAGTTTACCCTTACTACTCTTACTTCCAACAGTAACCAAAATGGGCTACTAGAAAAGAAGGAAGAATCCAGAACTTAACAAATAAAAGGAAAAGCTGTATTACTTTTTGTTGTGTCAGTATCTGCGTACCTGTAAGACCATTCAAATATCTTTATTAGTAGTAATTTTACATCAAGAAATGATTGAAAATAATTTCCTTTTAATTTTAGAATATCACAAGTGTCCTGGTTTCGGCTGGGATAGAGTTAATTTTCTTCATAGTAGCTAGCATAGTGCTGTGTTTTGGATTTAGTACTACAAGAATGTTGATAACACACTGATGTTTTTAGTTGTTGCTAAGTAGTGCTGAGACTACTCAAGGACTTTTTGAGCTTCTCCTGCTCGGTCAGGTGCATAACAAGCTGGGAGTAGAGCACAGCTAGGACAGCTAACCCAAACTGACCAAAGAGCTATTCCATACCATATAACGTCATGCTCGGGGGGAGTTAGTTGGCTGGTCGTGGGGAGAGTGATCACTGCTCGGGACGGGCTGGGCATCAGTCAGCGGGTGGTGAGCACTTGCATTGTGCATCACTTGTTTTATATATTCAGTATATTCTCTTACCATTATTATTATTATCTCTTATTAAACTGTCTCTATCTCAACCCA